TATTTATGACACATGAAGAAGTTATGAAGCATGAGCGGCATAATGTAATATTTTCAATTGTATACACAGTAGTACAAAACAACTTAATTGCTAAAAGATAATCTTACATTATTTATTGACTAGAGTCCTCTGAAGTGACATTATCTGCCCAGTGCAACTAATTTATATACATATGCACATTATGCTTTCTCATACATTTAAGTACAGCTTCTATAACCTCTTGAAACTATATTATTTTTTTCCAAAAATACTTTGTTTTTCCTAAAGGTTGTAAAAAGGTATACTATAGCTCCGCTAAAGTTGAAGCACACATCTTGAATCAATGAGAATTATTGTAAATTATACTGTACTTTCCTCTAGCCAGCTTTATGACATCTTCATAAATGTAACTATACTACATCATGCTAAGGACTACTTATATTGAAGCTAGTCACAGCTCTCCCAAAATCATTTTCTTCACAGTAAAATATACCATATTTCCACTATTTTGATTATGTTTTCAACAATTAGTTGGAAGGTGCTGTGGACTGAAACTCACTGAAGCTTGATTCCTCATTGTAACAGTGTTAAGAGGGTGGGGAATCAGATGATGTTGAAGGGTGGGGCCAACCTTTAAGAGGAGATTGGATCATGAGGACTATGCCCTTGTGAATGAATTAATCCATTCGTGGAGTAATGGGTTTATGATTTAGCAGCTTGTCATGGGAATGGCACTTTTGGCTTTATAAGGAAGAGCAAGTCAGCTCGTTAAAGAGCTCTTGACATCCCTGCCATGTGATTGCCTGAATCACCACAGGACCCTGCAGACAATTCCCACCCAGAACAAGGCCCTCACCAGATGCACTCCTGGATCATGGATTTTCCAGCCTCCCAAACTGTAAGAAATAAATTTCATTTCTTTATAAATACCCAGTTTTAGGTATTCTGTTACAAGTAACAGAAAATGGACTAATACAGAAGGTCAAGTGGGAAAAACACCTTGAGGGGTGTGTGGAAGAGGGAGAGAGAGAAAGACATATATACAATAAAAATATAAGGAGGTGCCTCCACCCCAACTTCAAAGGATGTACAGAAAAGCCTGGGGACTCGGGAAGAGATCTGTCATGGGCAGAGTCACCGCATAGAACTTTCGCTAGAGCAATGTCAAGCGGAAACATGGAGTCCGAGTTGCAGCAGAGAAACCCCAACAGTGCCATGCCTAGTAGAGCCCCAAGAATGGGACCACCATGGACACCCAGGAATTGTGGAGCCACCAGCATGCAATGCCAGCCTGCAAGGGCTGAGGTCTGGCCTAAGACCAGGAAAGTCATCAGAGCGGAGCTGCCTGAGGACTTGGGGACCCAACCTCCACACCAGCGTGCAGAGGATGTCAAACATGTAGTCAAGGTACATGATTCACCAGCTTTGAGATTTAATGCCTACCCTGCTGGGTTTCAGACTTGTCTGGGACCTGTTACACTTTTCTTTTGGCCTATTTCTCTTTTTGAACAGGAATGTGCCCTATGTTTGTCCCACCAATGTATATTGGTAGTAGATAACTTGTTTTTATTTCACAGATGGAACCTTGAGACTTTGGACTTTTGAGTTGGAACAAGTTAAGATGTTGGGGATGAAATGAATGAATTTGTATGGGAAAAGGACATGAGTTTTGGGGGGCCACGGTAGAATGCTGTGGATTGAATGTCTCTCCCCCCCAAATTCATTGAAGCTTAAATTGTGACTTCCAAAGTTACAGGTATTGGAAACTTGGTCCCTATTATTACAGCACAGAGGGTGGGAAATCTTATTATGGTAATTAAAAGGTGGTGCCTTGAAGAGCTGATTGGACTGTAGGACCATGCTGTAGTGGATGGATTAATAATGGTGGTCATGGACACGATTCTGAGGGCTTGAAAAGGAGAATGAGAGTCTTTCTCTCTTTTTCTGCTTCCACCATCTTGCAACGTGATACCCTGTGTCACTGAAGCCACCACCAGGGAAGGCCTTCACCACCAGGAAAGCCACCACCAGGGAAGGCCTTCAAATGTTTTCCCTGGACTTTGGACTTCCCAGCCTCAGGAACTGTAAGCAATAAATTTTGTTTTCCTTACAAATTACCCAGTTCCAAGTATTTTGTTATAAGCAATAGAAACAGATTAATACAGAGGTAGAAATCACAAAGGAAAAGATAAGAGAGTCAGAGGATGGATCTAGGTAACCTAACTTGAGAACAATAGAAGCTCAAGAAGGATAAAAAGAAATAGATGGAGGAGAAATAATAAACGATAGAAAAAATGTTCTACAAGATGAAAGATGTGTCAGCAGATAAGAAGGGCTCACTGATTCCCAGGAGGAAGTGATGAGAAAAGAGACAGTCCTAAGCATATCCTGATAAGTGCCTAAACTTGGAAGATAAAGAAAAAACCTTTTAAGCATCAAGACAGAAAAAAATAAATTACCTAGCAATGAAATTCTCATCTGCAACACTTACAGATAGCAATCAGTGACACAGACAAGAAAGGACTTCAATCTGAAAATACAAAGTTACCTAAGAGTAGGGGCAGGTGGGGTGCTGGGAGATAGTGAAGAAGTAAAAGTGGTCCAACGATTACATCTCAAGGGTGGGAGAGAAGAAAGGAAAGGAGAAGTGAAAGTATTCTGAAATACCACTTTACCAGGAAGGGATAAAGCAAGGAGGCAGAGGTATAACAAAACATTTTTGTGAAATAAATAATGCGCTTTTAATGTCTTCTTTTCAAATCATAGTATAACCAAGACCAGAAACCCAGAAATAATAAAATAAAGACATTATATGAGCAACCAAAAATTAAAAACTTTTACAAGGTTAAATACACCATAAGCAAAGTCCACAGATCCAATAAATTTGGTAAAAACAAACAAACAAACAACAGAGGTCAGAGAGTTAGTATCTAAAACACAAAAAGCTCTTAGCAATTGATAACAACAACAAAAGGATAAATAACCAAATAGAAAACTGGATAAAGATCCTGAAAAGGGGGCTGAGCCTGTGGCACACTTGGGAGAGTGCGGCGCTGGGAGCGCAGTAGCACTCCCGCCGTGGGTTTGGATCCTATATAGGGATGGCCGGTGCGATGCGCTCACTGGCTGAGCGCGGTGCGGCCAGTCACAAAAAGGACAAAAAAAAAAGATCCTGAAAAGGGCAATCCCAACTGCTTACCAAACACACATGGATATTCAAACTCAATAGTGATAAAAAGAAACCTCAGTTTATACCAACAGACTGGCAAAAATTAAAAGACTGATAATACCTACTGCTGGTGGGAATTCAGGGAAAAGTTTTCTTTCAGAAATTTCTTTTTTTTTTTTTTTTTTTTTCCTTTTTGTCTTTTTTCGTGTCCGGCAACAGATCGCAACCCTCAGTGTCGCGCCCGTACCGGACTGGGACCGGCAACGGGATCGCAACCCTCGGTGCTGCGCCCACACCTCGCCCAGCCAGTGAGTGGGAACCGGTCTGTATGTGGGATCCGAACCCTCGGCGGGAGCGCCGCCACACTCCCAAGCGGCACACTGTAGAGGTGCGCCACCGGGCCGGCCCAAGAAATTTCTGATGGAAACTAGAAGTGCAGTAGTTTTTTTTGAAAGAAATCTGAATATTTCTATTAAAATTAAAATTACACATATGCTTTGACCCACCAATCTCACTCATGGGAATCCATCCCCAAAAAATAAAAGCAGCAGCATAAGGATATATATATAAAAAGATGTTCACTACAACGTTGTGTTTAGTGGCTCAAAACTAGAAATGAAGTAATGCCCTTCAAAAGGGAAATGGCTGAATAAACTAGAGAATATTCACAACTTGGAATATTATATAGCCATTAAAAAAGAATCAATTACAGCTATATCAGGTGACTTGGAGATGTCTCCTTCAGATATTGTTTGGTAGAGGAAAGCAAGATACAGAAAAACATATATAAGATACCATTTGTGTAAAACAATGAAAACAAAAATCCGTGTGTCTGTTTATACATATATTTATATTATAACCTGGAGAAAATATATGAAAAGATATATACCTGACTGTTAACATGGCTACCTGGCCAGGGTTAGGGGAGGCAGAAGCAGCAGAGGAGGTAAGGGAGGGAACAGGGAAGTCAAACAACACAAATGTGGGAAAGGAAAGACAGCACACACAAAAATCAACATGCATGTTGATGACATTTACGCATTTGTATAAGATTCTGTATGTGTGTATTCAATAATTTCAAAATGGCTTGAAAAAATACTGGAAAATAATTTCTTCATTAGAAAAAGCTTATAAGGGCCGGCCTGTGGCTCACTTGCAAGAGTGTGGTGCTGATAACACCAAGGCCTCGGGTTTGGATCCCTATATGGGGATGGCCAGTTAGCTCACTTGGGAGAGCATGATGCTGACAACACCAAGTCAAGGGTCGAGATCCCCTTACCAGTCATCTTTAAAAAAAAAAAAAAGAAAGAAAAAGCTTATAAAGTTAAGTTACAAATTGCACATGAAAAATCCAACCATATATTCTGTGAACTCTGTGAATAACAAAAACACCTACTCAGAGTTTTTATGGAGGTAATCGCTTAACTATTCTTACATCTTCATGAAGGAACAAGGAAACCAGATTCTTTTAACATCTGAAAGCAAGAATCCTAGCCAAAAAACAAGTTTAAGCTCAAAAGGGTAAAGGAAAATGTTCCTGAGGATTTTCAAAACTAAGACACTAAGTCTAAAATATTTTAGAAGACTGACTCTTTTATTTGTTAAACTTTCAAGACACATATTCTATAACAGCAATCTACGTGACCATTTCAACTAACTCTCCCTTTTCAAAAAACCTTTTCCCAGAAGTTCTAGGATGATTGCATTTTTTTCCTATGGGCTCTTTGGTTTTTTTTTTTCAATAGATAAAAGAAAATGACACTTTAAAAAGGAAGAACAAAATACACACACAAAATAGGAGGCAAACAGCTTAAAGAAAAAAATATAGTAAACAGAAACATCTATTGCTTACCAAATGCTTGAAGTTTTCCAGAGTGGAAATCATTCAAAAGACTTAGCAGTCCTCTTTCCATCTCCTGAACATCAGAGACATCAGTGAGGAAGGAATGCTGAATCGGAGTAGACTGAGCACCTTTTCCTTCTCCACCCTGAGGTCTGGTCTTTTCTTTCATTACTCTGTGAAGATGATGCAATTAACTTTAGATTTTTTCAGGCCATTTTAGATTAAGCTTTTGCTTAATCTTTTAGTAAATTAAATGAAATTTGCCTTTAAAAAAATAAGAAATCAGAATAAAGTCAATACTAAATAAAACCAATAACTTCAAGCCAGAAACCAAAAGAAAAAAAAGAACAGAAATACATTTATACAATATGTTAATTCTTTGGACTGCAAAAAACTGAAAAGAGAATTGACAAGTCGTTTTACTATGCTATGTTTCATATTTCATTTCTCAGTAAAACACATTACGCCTTTCCCTTCTAAACTTTATCCTATGTGCTCCTTGAACTATCAGGAGCTGAACAAGTGGCTATGGGGTCCGTACTCTGTAGCTGACATTATGCCAGGAGTGCCCAGTCTAAGGAGAAAGGAAGACACCATACAATGTGGTGTTAAAAACCTATTATCGGGCCGGCCCGGTGGCGCACTGGATAGTGCGCCGCTTGGGAAGCGCGGCGGTGCTCCCGCCCGAGGGTTCGGATCCCACATACAGACCGGTTCCCGCTCACTGGCTGAGCGAGGCGCAGGAGTGACGCCGAGGGTTGCAGTCCCGTTGCCGGTCCCCGGTCTGGTACGGGGGCAACACTGAGGGTTGCGATCCGTTGCCGGACACGGAAAAAAGACAAAAGACAAAAAATAAAAATAAAATAAAAAAAAAAACCTATTATCATCCTTGCCTCCAACTTCCCAAGGCCCCCACAGGCAGTTATGAAATCTATTGATTATACCCATGAAATATCTAATCTGTCTAGTTCTCTCCTTCTTCATTGCCACTATCTTATCTCTTGACCAAACAATTCCAACAGCTTCCCAACTGGTTTCCCTGCCTCTTTGTGTGGTCTCTGATCTGCCTTCCCTCTCCACAGGGCAGCCAAGTCCATTTCTAAAAAGTAAAATCAGATCATATCATTTACTTAATTCAAACCTTTCAGCAGCTTTGCGCTATTGGGTCTCATGGCTGGTTTAGCTTCAGCCCAGCCATGTTGAGCCTCCCCCCCTGCCCATTTTCCTTTCTTCTCTGGGAACTGAGATTTCTCTCCTGGGAAGGGATAAACATTATTGTTATCATTAAGGGAATGTCTTGTGGGTTGTGTCTAGCAGGCTTTGGGCCAGAATGCTTTGTTCTGAGATAGTGGCTAATCGAGAGCCTGTGACTTAACCGATCAGATGTTATCGAACCACTAGGACTGCGTCACCTTGCATACCACTGATTTCAAAATTGCCCGTTACTCTGAACCCTCCCTAAAAGTCTATTATAAACTCCCTTCTTTCTTAAGTTTGGGAGAACTGATCTGGCTCAGTCTCCCCTCCACGTTAGTGTAATAAAAGCTATTGGCTGAAAAAGCAACTGGCTCAAGTCTCTCTCTCTCTCCCTCCCTTTTCTCCATCTCACTGAACCTAACATGCACTGCCTGCTGGATAAAGTCCAATATACTTACAAAACCCTATGCTCCCTTGTTCTCCCTTGCTCTAGCCATTCTGAATCTCTAACTTCCTAGAAATTCATTCTCTTATCTTCTTACATGCTAATCCTCTGCCTACATTAGCATACTTACACTTACTGTCATCTTTGCCAGGCTACTTCCCACACATCCTTCAAGCCTCAGTTTAAATGCTATTTCCTCAGGAAGGTCCTTTTGAAATCCCTAGACTAAATTAGTTTTTCTTACACGTTTGGCATATACCAGGTACTCAGAGTGATGGTGCTAAGCACACTATGATATAGGAATAGAGAGAGGGAGCAGTTCACTCAGCCTGGGGCCAGCCAGAAGAGGCTTCCTAAAGGTGATATGTGAAGCAGGGGTTAAACAGTCAAAAAGGGAGGGGTTGTGTGCTATCTTTATAACCCAGGGCATACTACAGATCCTGATATTCACATATATTCAGTACTCAATTTTTACATGTCGAATGAAGACATCTTCCTCACAACTGTAGTCACGACAATAAGGATAGGAGATATACACATACACACACACACACACACACACACACACACATGCACAGGGAAGGGGGAACACAAGAAGGAAACTAATACTTTTAACAAGAAAGAAATTTAGAACACATATGCTGTTGACACTCACTAACTTCTCAAAGCAAGGTCTGCATTTCATGTAGGTGGCCTAGTAAATCACAGGATCTAGTACCTTGCTACTCAAAGTGCTGTCCACAACCTCACTTGTGAGCTCATCCAAAGCTCCACCCCCATTGATTCAAAATCTACATTGCCTTTGAATTTACTAATTGATTCAAAATCTGCATTTTAAAAAGATCCCCAAGAGATCCATATTCACATTAAAATCTAAGATAAGCTACTATAGATTGTAAGGTTTCAGTACAGCAAAAATTTTTTCTTCCTTTCAAATTTGGAAGTTTTATCCAAGGAAGGGTTTCATAACATTTCATCATTTTCTCAAAAAAGAAAAAAAAGTACAAAAGATAAAGCAAAAAGTTGTTTATTTCTACTTCAATGTTTTTGACTATGTCACATCATCTCACTTTGTTAAAATAATTCAACAAAAAAACCCCATGATGAAATTATACTATGTGCAAAGCCCCACTGTAAGTACTGTCAGACACAAAATGATGATCAATACAGTCCCAGCCCTCAGGAAGCTTACATTCTAGAGGAGGGTACAGAAATAAAATTACCGGGTAAAAAATGACTATGATACAGAAAAACTGCCATTAAGAATTTCGAGAAAGAAGTGATTACCTCTAAAATCTCTTGGATTTCTTTCCCACCAAACATAAATTTATTCAAAATCTGACTCTAAATTAAACTCCTCTAGAGGAAAACTTTACGCTGATAATTTATTCAAGGAAAATCCTCACAACTCTTGTTGTTTATCATTTGGTACTTACTGGAATACTTTTTCCCAAGTGTTCTCGTGTCTTTGGCTATGGCTCTTCCATTTCCTCAAGGAGAGATTATCATCAAAGTCTTTTCTTTTGTGTAAACCTAATGGCTACAGAAAACTACAAGTATTTCCTTAACTGACTCTCCTCAGTGAGCTTGCATGTGAGAGTAAGTTTATCCAATGATTAGAAAGAAGACTATACAATACATCCGAGATTATACAATACTTTTTCTCTAGTATTGTAACGTTGCCTTCCAAATATCTAATACTAAAAAATATTACATGTATTGTAATGTTGCCTTCCAAATACCTGATACTAAAAAATTAGCTCTAATTCTAAATTCGTAATACATAACGCATTTAAATTTGTTGCTCCTGTTTCCTTTAAATATCCTGGAGACAGATGATGTTCACTAAATATTAATAATAATTATTTCTGGGTGGTTGGGATTTTAGCGTTTTGAATTTCTTTGAACTTTTCCTGTGTTTGAATTTTTCCCATAAATACAAACCATTTCTAGAAAAACAATGACATTGCTTTATGCAAAAACAGCTTCACTAAAAAAAACCTCTCTGACTTTATATATTTTTTCCCATTTCTGGCTAGCTCATCAACTTTGTCTACAAATTTCCTCATTCTATATATCTTAATATGTGACAAAGTAAGGGCCTTCAAGCCAATAATTCATTTTGCATTTTCTAATCTCTATACACTGTAACTTTCATAATTTTTTTTCCAAATCACATATAATATGTGCCTCAACTGTTTTAAAAGTCAAGCTAAGAGAAAAAAATGTTATATGAAATAACTGATTCAGTATTTACTTTAATAGCATTTTACTGTGAAGATGTGAAAGAAAAGAATTCACCTTTTTAACTTTGGTCGCTGTGAAGTTGACTGTGATGCAGGATTTGAAAACCCTGTGCTTTTACTAACTGGAATGGCATTTTTTTTGGCATTAACAACCTGAGTACAGTGGGCACTAAAAGACTTAGGACTCCTCCTCTTCACTTTTCGCTCTTCCATTGTTTTAAGTTTCTTACTGCACCAAGGCCAGCTTCTTAAGATCTAAATAAGGAAATATAGCAATTACACATGTATGCTATAATATGCAAAACTGAAGGATTCAAAGACCCATTTCACAGGCTAAAAGAGGAGCAATAATTTCAGAGGTCATTAGAGAAAGTCAGAATAAGTATCCCTTAAATTTAATCTACTTTACTATGTACACAGAAGCCCTTAGCAAAACTGTCTGGTAGGCAATTTTTTTTCTTTACTCACTCATCTTACAAATATTTACTGACTGTCTTCCACAAGCCAGAAGAGAGTCAGCACTGAAGAAGAAAAAATCCCTGTTCTCAAGAAGCCTAATCATACACGGCAAACAATATATTAACAATAAACAAATCATTAATAGAATATTCCCAGCCTGACTCAAGCTTTAAGTGGCCTTACGTCTCCTTTCCAAAAAATATTTTTAGGAATAACCAACTAGATTCAAATAGATGTACAACTGTCAAGGGCCTCAGCATTTTAAATAGCAACTAGAAGTCTTATTTCAACTATTAAGCAAAAACTCAGTTTCTGCCTAGGACTAACACTGATTCTAGTTCTATGATCGAGTGAAGTTCTATAAAATTAAACTTGTTCCTTGTCTATTTTGAATATACTTTCTTTACCTATTTTCAAGAAAACATGAGTCCTTATGATACATGTTTGGTTTTGCCCATATAAAAAAAAACTAACACTATGAAGCAACATATTCCATGGGAATATTAATCGGCTTTATTTTCTAACACCCATCTATCTAAAATATCCTTCTACATTTCTTCTTTGTGCATAGTGTTATATTTTTCTTAATTCCATTGTTTCATGTTATTGAAGATGAGAAATTTATATGTATATATATCATCAGATTGTAAATTGCCAAAGGAACGTTAAGCCTTGTTTTGCATGTCGTGTTAAATTTAATCATGGTATGACCATTCAAAAAGACTCAACCCTAATGATGTC